GATGACTAAGAAAGAGAAGCTTGGCAGGCCTGGCCAATGGGAGCAGTTGCAGCTGTTCTGAGTTACCAGCCAAGAGCCAGTAGGTGAAGGGAGTGGCTTCCTGTTGAGCTAAGATCTTTGAGCCTAGCTTGGCAGTCAAGGCATTCCCAGAAACAAAATCGTCAGGCAGCCTACTAAGGTTCTGTGGAATTTTTATTATAAAAATACAAAACCCATGCCCTGGCTGGTGTAGCTCAGTGCACTGAGCACCGGCCTGTGAACCGAAGAGTCCCGGCCTGGGCCCTGCAACCCAGTCAGGGCCTTGGGTTGCAGGCCAGTCTCCGGTTGGTGGCATATGAGAGGTGGCTCATCATGTGCCTCTCACAAATTGATGTTTCTCTCCCTCTCTTTCTACCTCCCTTCTCCTCTCTCTAAAAGTAAATAAGTAAAATCTTTAAAAATCAAACAAACAAACAAACAAAAACCCCCAGGTCTGATAAGTTACGTTCCCGACTCCACCAACTTGCAAGAAAGCCTCAGTCCCTCAGGCAATTGTGATCCTGAGCAAACAAGGCTAGGGGTGGGGGTGGGGGTGGCTTAGCTCTCTCGCAGCACAAGTAGGGATTGTAGCCCGAAGTTGGGTAGGGAAGAGGGGAGGGAGGAGTGCCCCCTCTAGTGGCTCCCTAGGGGAAGGATTCTGGTATGCTAATTTTGCAAGAGATGCCGGTGGGATTGACCAGTCTGAGCAAGGACCCTACAGCGAAGCGCTCTGGGTCGAATGTGATACATGCTGACCTAACGACCCTTTCAAGCAGCAACATGTGGGCTTGGGCAGCAAGGGATGAGGATTTTTACTCACTCTCCCTCCATCCGAGACTACTCCTCCACGATCAAGCTGTTGGTCCAGATGTGGCTTTACCTCACTACTGAATCTTATATGATGTAGTTGGTGAGAGAGAGAGATTGTTTACCCATGATGTAATGATGGTGATTAAATTGAGGATTTAGCCCATACATGGAGAATGAAGTAAAACTAAGGACATTTTGGACAATGAGGTTGAAAGCTTTTTCAAAGGGCCCCTGCCACAATCATTTTTGGAAGCAAGACATCACGTTTCAGTCTCGTTGGGGAGGATGTAATGAATTTTTAGTAGTAGCAGTGAGAATGGGATCTTGACAGGGCGTTTTGGGAACTAAATATGTAAGCAGCTACTCCAGCTGACTGGAGTAGCTCATTTGGTTGGACGTGTCCCAAAAAACAAAAGGCCACCAAGGATCATGTGTGATCCCTAGTTGGGGCTTGTGCGTGTGGTGGGGGGAGGTCAGTGCTTCTCTCTCACATCGATGTTTCTCTCTCTCCTTTCCTCTCTCTTAAAAGCAAAGAGAAACACTGAAAGGATCACACAGACGCAACAGCATGGTGGTAACCAGATAGAAGGGGGGCCGAGGGATAGTAAAGCGTAAAGGGGGCCAATTATATGGTGACAGAAGGTGATTTGACTTTGGGTGGTGGGCACACAATGCGATATATAGATTATGTATCACAGAGATGTACACTTGAAACCTATATGACCCTATGAACCAATGTCACCTCAATAAGTGTAACTGAAAAAAAAAAAAAAAAGGTGTGTGTATGTTTGGGTACGGAAGACAGTACTATCATATGTGGCCACGAGATGGCAGCAGAGAGAAATTGGTCGCAAGTGTGGTCACAGAGGCAAGGAGAAATTGGCGACTCTGGCAGGTGCCCACCCAGAGAAGTTGGGGGTAGGCAGACATCGGAGTGGGCTGTAGGAGGAGGTGGGCCCTGTATTTCAGCATGGTTATATTTGCCAGTTGGAGTCTGTCACTGCAGACTAATCCCCTGGGACCTCTTCAATACCAGGTCTTTATAGACACTTTGCCAAACTGTCAGCAGAAAATGCATCTGTGTGACCTTGTCTGGGCTGGGGGTGAGTAATGCATATTCCACAAGGGTGAGTATGAGAGGCAAGGGGTGTCGCCTGCACAGGGCAGCTTATTTAAAGGACACCAGTGCATGTTGAAAGCAGGGCCTCCCATCCCCCCGCTGCCAGGCTTGTGGTTCCAGGTGCTCTTAAAGGACCTGTTCACCTGAATCCAGCCTGCTCCAGTCATGAGAAAATCAGATTTGTGGCTGGGAGAGGTCACCAAAAACAAGGCGAAGGATGCTGAGGTGGGGTGGGGCAGGGAACACGAGGTGAGGCAGCTGTCTCGGAAAGCGGACAAGATGTTCCTGACTGCAGTAGGGGTGGTAAAAGGATTATGTGACAGTCCCCTAACCCAGCCCGGAACTAACACCCTCCTCCCCTTCACTCACACACTTCGGCCTGACCAGCTCCAAGCCTGCCAAAGCTCAGAATAACCCTGAGGACCAGACAGCGGGATGGCGGTGGCTCTGCTCAGTGCCCTATTCCTCTTGCAACTTCTCGGTATGAACGGGGGTCAGGGAAGGTGGTTAGATACACACACGTAGATACTAACCCGAAGAAGCAAGACAAACCAAGATGTAGACTGGGGTGCACCATTTGGTCCCCAGACACAATATTGTTGGTTAAGAAGACACATATAGAAAAATACACAGTCTCCGAGGCAGACACAAAGAGGCACAGAGTCTGCGCAGACCCAGAGGGGATGAAAGGGAGAGACCACCTGGCCTCTTCATCTCTAGTGACTCCACTGTTTGACGCCCCAGGCAGAGGTGAGGGGAAGAATGAGGAGCTGCGCCTTTATCACCATCTTTTTGACAACTATGACCCAGGACGCAGGCCAGTGAGACGGTCTGAGGACACTGTCACCATCACATTCAAGGTCACCCTGACCAACCTGATCTCACTGGTAAGATACCTTACTTGTACTCCAAGCGCGTCTCGAAGTTTAACATTCCGCTGAGCGGCCCCAACCGCTGAGCTCTGTCCTAAAGCTCACTCCTGGCCCTGGAATCCACTTCAATCATCCTAATCTCCCGTGCGCAGAATGAGAAAGAGGAGACCCTCACCACCAGTGTCTGGATTGGAATCGTGAGTCAAACCCGGGGGAAAGTGCCGGGACGCCCAGGGGACCCTCTTCTCCCAAACTCCTCCCCGGCACCAGGTGGGAGTCGCAGGGCACACGTCCTTCTGTCTCCACCCTTTAGGATTGGCATGATTACCGACTCAACTACAGCAAGAGCGACTTTGGGGGCATAGAAAACCTGCGGGTCCCTGCAAAACTCGTATGGTTGCCAGAGATCGTGCTGGAAAACAAGTGAGGACCGAGCGGAAGCCAGGCTGGAAGGACGAAGAGGCCTGAGGGGGCTGGGTTAGACCTGGTTGGGGCAGGGTGGGGGAGGGGAGGCGGGCTGCTCGGAGGGCCAGGGGGCGCGGACCTCGCAAACGCTGGGTTTCTGGGAGCCCACAGTATTGACGGCCAGTTCGGCGTGGCCCACCAAGCCAACGTGCTGGTCTACGAGGGCGGTTCAGTGACCTGGTTGCCCCCGGCCATCTACCGCAGCACCTGCGCCGTGGAAGTCACCTACTTCCCCTTCGACTGGCAGAACTGCTCCCTGGTTTTCCGGTGGGCAGTGTTACTCAGAGGCCCGGGACCATTACAGGATTAAGCGAGTAGGGGGCGGGCAATATTAATAAGGGGCGGGGCTTTTGTGCTGGGGGCGGGCCCAGACTCTAGAAGGGGTTGGGGCTGCTCCAGGGCGTTAAAAGTAGGGGGTGGAAATACCTAGGCGTGATCTGGGTAATGGGGTGGGGCGTTATTATCCAGCTAGGTCCCAGCTTCCAGAGCAGGGCCTGAGGCTAAACTTGGGTTCGAGTTTCTGGGGTGGGGGCTCCGCAGCTCTCAGACGTACAATGCCGAAGAGGTAGAGTTCGTCTTTGCGGTGGATGATGCAGGCGAGACCATCAGCAAGATCGATATCGACACTGAGGCCTATACTGGTGAGGTCCTCTCCTGCTCCGAAAACCCGTTTCTAGGCAGGGTCCAGAGAAACGACTTGCAAAATGGGGCCGCCCCAGACCGTCAATGTTAGGACTGACTTTGACGACCGCGCTCTAATTTGCCCCTTTCCTGAAATCATTCTCGATTGCCGGACTAGTTCTACTTCCTCGCGGTCGTTCCGTACCTCACCGCTATACCCCTTTCTGCCCGTGCCCTGTTCGCCCTCGTGCCGACGGCCCAGGGCCCAAGCAGTCCAGACCACCTGCCCCACCCATCCTGGTCTAGACGGTTGCCAAACTCCTCCGCCAGGAGTTCTGGGCTCCCGCCCTCCGGGGCAGAGCCTCAAAGCAGGGCGGCCCAACCCTGAGAGCAGGCTGACCGCGCCACCTGTCTGTCCACCTGTCTGTCCTGCAGAGAACGGCGAGTGGGCCATCGACTTCTGCCCCGGGGTAATCCGCCGCCGTGACGGTGGCTCCGCCGATGGTCCGGGGGACACCGACGTCATCTACACGCTCATTATTCGCCGGAAGCCGCTCTTCTACATCATTAACATCATTGTGCCCTGTGTGCTAATCTCAGGCCTGGTGCTGCTCGCCTACTTCCTGCCGGCGCAGGGTAAGGAGTCGCCCCATCCCCAAAGCCAGGCTCTTTTCGGGGGAGGAGAGGGGCATCCGCTCTTACTGGGCGCTCCCTTCAGCCGGTGGCCAGAAATGCACCGTGTCCATCAACGTCCTACTCGCCCAGACCGTCTTCTTGTTCCTAATCGCCCAGAAAACCCCAGAGACGTCACTGAGCGTGCCACTGCTGGGCAGGTGAGGGCGCCAGGGGGCAGGCGGCGCCGTGCGGGGGCGTGGCTAGCGCGGAGGGCGGAGCCAGGAGGGTGCGGTCGGGGTGAGTGAGGCCAAAACCAAATGACTCTGGGAGCAGCTTTGGCTGTCTGGACCCCGCCTGGGCTTTATCTGAACGCTGGGTGGGGCTGGGACTACGGTGGGTGCTCTGATCCTCCGTCCTCCGCACTGCTGCTAGGACGCCACTTTGAGGTCTCCCGATTGTCTGTTGAGGGAGAGGGCAGCTCAGTGCCTCCAACCGCGCCACCTCTGGCCCCTAACACCTCCCCATCCTGAACTCACGGGTTCCCCGGGGATTTTGAGGCCAAGCCGGCGTCTACATTGCTGCAGAGTAAATGAGGTGGACCCTTGGCAGACCCCATCCACATTGGCACAACCACGCGCCCTGGAGCAGGAGCCCGAAGCTCGAGCCCACAGCGCCTGCTCGCAGAGCCCCCTGCCCTGCCTGGCAGGCGTTTGCAGCTGGGCCCGTGCTGCTGTTGTCGCTCCCCGGGCGCCGCATCTCCTGCTGTAGCCAAAGGGCTGAGATCTTCATTGGGGGTACTGGGGTTAGTTGGGGGGGAGGGGCTGCAGAGGTCCCTATCCTCCTCCCCTGTTCTTCCTCAGCCCCTCAGCGCCCCGCCTCTAACAAGGTGGCTCCGAAGTTAATGACACTGGCCACGATTTCTCTTGGCATCAGCCCCAGGGTAGGCTTCGGGGCGGGTGGCTTCTTTGGCTCCCGCGGCTCCAGGGATTTCAGTTCTCTGAACCTCTGCCCCAGACACTCCTGAGCTGCGGCCACGGCGAGTTCCGGGGAAGACAGAAGGGGCTGGAGGGCTACCTGGAGGAGTGGGGGCAGTAGAGCCACCAGCTCATAGGCCAGAGGTCACGGTGGGGTTTGCTGGAGACCTTTCCAGAGGGTCTCCAGGTGACGGGCCACGGCATCCCTTCACCTCCGTGGATCTGAGTAAGTGGTAGACCCTCAGCAGGGCTTCCAGGGACCTGGGGGCCCACTTCAAGGCTGCCACGAGCAGCAGGAGAGAGAAGGGCCGGGGCACGCGCGTCCGGCCCCGCTGAGGAGAAGCCACTGAGCTGAGAGAGGCCGCACTCCACCTCCCGTGGAGGAGTGTGTTTGTGAGGTCAAAGGACCCACAGCTCTGTGACTCTGGGGTCCTGGGGAGGCTGTGATGTCACGCACTCCGGGCTCCCCAGGTACCTCATCTTTGTCATGGTGGTCGCCACGCTCATTGTTATGAATTGCGTCATTGTGCTCAACGTGTCTTTGCGGACCCCCACTACTCACGCCATATCCCCGCGGCTGCGTCAAGTAAGCGCAGGGCGAGCCGTAGCTGGGTGGAGGGTGGGAGGCGGGACTTCAAGCTGATTACCACCCCGGGCCCGCCCCTAGGTCTTGTTGGAGCTGCTACCACGCTTCTGGGGCTCTGGCACGCCTCTCGAGACCCCCCGGGCCTCCTCACCTCCGAGGCGTGCATCTTCCGTGGGCATATTGCTCCGCGCAGAGGAGCTGATACTAAAAAAGCCGCGGAGCGAGCTCGTGTTTGAAGGGCAGAGGTACCGGCACGGGCCCTGGACCGGTAAGCAGAGTGGCCCGGGTGGGCCAATGGGTTGCTTGCAGTGGGCTAATAACCGACCCTGAGGCTACTGGCCATCCTTCCCCCAGCTGCCCTCTTCCAGAGCCTGGGTGCCGCTGCCCCCGAGATCCGCTGCTGCGTGGATGCTGTGAACTTCGTAGCAGAGAGCACACGAGACCAAGAGGCCACCGGAGAGGTGAGGCAGGAGCCGGAGGTGGGGTGGGACGCTGCAGAGACTGCCCCCCCCCCCCCCCCCCCCCAGCTCTCGCACTGCAGGATTCTGCAGCCTGTCCGGACTCAGCTTGCGCCTGGCCCTTCCCCAGGAGGTGTCCGACTGGATGCGCATGGGGAAGGCCCTAGACAACATCTGCTTCTGGGCCGCTCTGGTGCTCTTCACTGTGGGCTCCAGCATCATCTTCCTCGGGGGCTACTTCAACCAAGTGCCTGAACTGCCCTACCCACCGTGTATGTAGACCTGGGCAGTGGCCACATGGATTTCAACTTCCTATCCATTTCCACAAGGAATAGATTTTGAAAAACAAGTTTCTGCCACTGCTATATTCTGACTCTTTTCCACTGCCAGTAATAAATCAGTGCCCTGTGTGCCCACAAGTGGGTGTGTCTGGTTTATGTGCAGGGATCAGGAGGGCAGATGGCTATTCAGGCAGGCTCGCGGGTGCCAATCCTCTGGACAGCAGATCATCCTAGCTTCAGCCTTGATCGTCTCCCAGTTTCACCAGGCCCCAGCCCCACAGGACCCCATAGCCCTGTAAGCTTCTAGCCTATTTTTATGTACTGGACAGCCGCACAGGAGCAGCCCCTTTGCAGGGCCAGCACTTAGGGATTCTGGAGCCAGGAAGTCAGGTCTCTTTTTGGGAGAGAACCAGGTACCCTCAGGGCCCGTGGGGGCACGGGCCCACAGATTTAAGGCTGAGGAGGCCCTGACCCTCCCCCCTCAGCCATTTTTTTTCTAGATTTTTCTTGGCTCAGCACTGCCCACCTGCCTCCCCATAAGACTCACTGTAGATTCTACCCCACCCTGCCCCCTTCACCCCAACTCTGATTGCTTGCCCTGGCTAGTATCTGGATTGTGACAGGAAACAATAAAATGGGGCCAGAAATGGTGGGAGCTGGTTGAATTGTCTTTATTAACAAACGGGATGTCCAAGGCCACTACAATGAGGAGAGGTAGGGGCAGGGAGGGAACAGGGCTACTTGCTGCTCACATTATATACAGACGCAAGCAAGTGGGTGTGGAGGGTGAGAGCTCCCTGCCCCCTCCCTCCACCAGGGAAGGGCAGAGGCTAGAAGAGATGGAGACTGTAAAGGGGGAGATGTTTTGGCTGGCGGGGTCCCCCTTCTATTCCCTGGGATTTGGGGGGAGGGGAATCATTAAAGTGCTTTCAGAAAATGAGGAAAATGGTCCCTGCCCCTGGAGTGGCTGGTGACCCTCCTAAAACCTAGGGCCCAGTGACACCCCCCCAGGGTCTGGTACATTCAAGGGGGGAGCCGGCTCCCCTGACGTGCAAATAAAGGGGCCCAGGGCCCTGCCCAATCAGCAGCAGTGGGGAATGGGGCCCAAGCCCCAAGCACTCTCCTCTTTAGTGGAGAAATGGGGGGATGGGGCTAGGCCCACTCAGTTCCTGTTAAGGGGAAGCTGTGCCTCTCCCCAGAAGATGGGACAGGCACAGTTTTGGGGAGAGAACATATTGGGGAAGAGGGTGGTCACGTGATCACAAAAGCATCAGGGGTCAGAGGTCACGTTCCCAGCAGGCTCCAGTGAATCAAATCAGTAAAAGCAAAAGCCCAAGGAGGGGAAAGCAGGGCGGCCTGGGAAGTCTGGCTGTGGGAAGAGAGCTGGGCTCATGTGGGAGCCCCAGCCCAGGGTCTGTCACCAGTTCATGATGCAGTTGCGGTTCAGGGTCATAAAGTAAACTTGGCTGCTGCCCCCGGAGCGGACTGATGCAAAGAATACCTGGGTGGGGAAAGAGAAGGAGTCACCAAGGAAGGGGAGCTCAATTAATTGGGAGAGGGAGAGAGAAACTGCAGAGTTTCGTTTCTCAGAGTTACCACCATCCCCCTAAAGGGCAGAGGGCACCTGCTAGACCTCTGGCATGAAAGGGTCGGAGTCCCCAGAAACTGAAGGGGAGGGGAGCACAGGACATAAAACTGAGTGTTGTGTTCCCCAAAGACCCCCTATTAGGAAGGCTCCACAACTGTCACTTCCTTGGTGGGGACGGAGGGTCTGGGAAGCCAACCCCATTCAGGGCCCTGGTGCTTTTCCTGGGGCAGGGCTCCCACCTTGTCATTCCGCTCGCACAGGAACTTGAGCCTCTGAGCTCGTTTGTGCATGAAGACCCCGTCCAGGTGGCCTGTCTCCACAGAGCGGATCTCAATGGCTTTCTCGCCCCAGCCCATTATCTGGTTGGAGCAGATGTAGGCTGCAAGAGAAGGGAGGTGGGGGGCAGTGAGTGGGCTGCAGCCCAGGCCCACTCCCAGGCCAGCTCGGGGAGATGAGGCCTGTGGCTGGGCACTGGCACCACACTCACCCACAGAGGTGGGCATCTCTCCCCACTGCAGCACCACATCCTTAATGATCCGCCCATACGTGTTGACGTACACGCCCTCATCCTCGTAGCACAGCAACATCTCCATGCCGTCGGTGTTGGGGAGGAAGATGATGGCATGGGGAGTGATCTGGCTCTGGATCTGGGGAGGAGAAAGTGGGCTGCACTCCCCAAGTCTGGAACGCAGACTGGTGGTCCCCTTCTACCCTCGGCCCCGCCAGGCTTACGTGGACAGGGATGTAGATGTCGTAGCTGTTCCCCGAGTCGACGTCTACCGCGTGGAAGCCAGCGCTGGAGCCATAGATGACCTTGAGCCGCTGTCCCTCCTCTACTGTCAGGTCTACCAGCAGAGGGCGGTGAGGCAGGTCAGCAAAGGACTGTGGAGGAGAGAAGGGGTCAGGGGACACAGGCGGAGGAGTCAGACCTTGGAACAGGGTTGGGGGGCTGAGGCTGGGATTACCTTGAAGGCCATGAATTTGTGGTAGGGTTTGGGGGCCCAGGCATACACCTCTACAGAGTTCTTCAGGGCGATGACCAGGAACTTAATACGTTCGTATTTCACTGGGGGCAGGAAAGAAAAGGGACGCTGGGACCCCCCTCCTTGGGCTGCCAGCCCCCTCCCACAGGTCTGTCATTACAGCCCCACTGCCAGGCTCCAAGTCTCTGGCTTTAGGACCCTTGAGCCCAAGCCCCTATTTCTCTTTTCATGAACAAATTGTGCCCTGGCCACTCTGTTGTGCCCTCCTCACCAACACGGTAGTGCCCGCAGCCCTCCATGTCCCCCACAGTGGTCCAGCCCTGCTTCTTCTCCACTTCTGGGTCATTGTGCAGAATCTTGTTCCGGAGCCAGGACAGGTAATATACCCGCAGTTTGTTCCTTTTCCCTGAGGGACAAGGACGGACACACACACACACATTGAAGGTCAAGATTCTGCCTCCCTTCCATCTTTTTCTGCATACCACAAGGGCTGAGAAAAGTGGCCCCACCTTCTTACTCCTGGACCAAGATTGCCCTCTGCCCAGACTGAAGAGGGCACCAGAGAGCCAAGGAGCTGAGCCCCTCTTCCCAGCCCCTGTACTCCACAGACACACCTGAGATGGTAATGAGCAAGTTGAGCCCTTCCAGCACATCCATTTGCTGGAAGCGTCGCCGCCCAATGAGTCCATACACCTTGCCCTGCCCGCTTCGGTCCAGCAACATCAGCCCGTTCTCCGTGCCCACCAGCAGGTTGACGCCTGCAACAGGAGCCCTTGGGCAGGTCAGGGCAGAGCCAGGCCCTCACTGGACCAGGAGCGCAGGGACGAACCCAGCTCCTCCTCTCCTGCCCAGCCCTGGCTTACCCCAGAGAGCTGCACAGAGGATCTCAGAATTGAATCGCTTCTTGTACTTTCGAATTTCGGGGGTTTCACTGTGGGCCCGTGTGTTGGTGGGGTTCACGTTGACCACAGAGCCTTTCCGCACATCATACTGATCAAGCCGACTGGCCTCTCCACCCACTAGGGCTGTGGAGGAGAGGCACAGTGTGGTGGGCTGCTGCTCCCTGGCGCTGTCTCCCCTTACCCGGCCCTTACCCTTGGTCTCGCCCCTCTGAATGCTCAGGCCAGAGAAAGGAACAGGTGCCTGGAGGGGCCGAAACAGAGCCAAGAGGCCCAGCAATGTCCTTGTTCTACTGTGTAGGCCCCTGTGCAGCTCTGAGCATTCTCCCTCTTGGGTCAAAGTGGCCTCAGAAGCTTTTGTTGCTCCTGTGCCAGGGCAGGTGCTCAGGTCAAAGGGCAGGATGACAGCTTTGTGAAGCCACATCACCAGACTATTAGCTTCACCCATCTTCAGGCCTCATGGCAGAGTTGTCCTTCCCTCCTCACCTGTGATGGGTATGGTGT